TGCCCATCCATTATGAAAACCGAGCCACGTCTGTTCATTGGCTTCAAACAAACTTTTTCCCTTTGGCCTTCACCGCAGTGGAAACTTGCAGCTTCTGATTTGGTAATGATTAGCTTTTATTTAGTAGCTGTCTAAGGATAGTTGATGTCTGGCAACAAAACAGCCCCTTGCTAGCCCAGGAAGAAGAAAGTTGGTGTGTTAAATAAATAAGCTAGTTATAAATCTCTCATCTGAATGAGTCTCAAACTGTTACCAGCCCAGTGGAAAAAACCTCACTAGGCCGGTTGCATTGCAGACTAGAGGACTGACTCTGTCTTCCTGAAGCTAGTTGAGTTTCAGGCCTGGTGAGTGGCACCCTGGCTATTGACTTTAGAGATTTCTCACACTCAAGATGGATCCAGCAAAGTCAGTCCTGTAGGACTAAGCTCTGACTTCTGCTCTCAACAGAGATTGCCTATCTCCTAGAGCAGACTGTGAAAGGTCATCAAGTCCAGTCCCCTGCCTTCACAGCAGGACCAAGTACCATCCCAGACAAATTTTTGCCCCAAATGGCCTCTGCAAGGATTGAGTTCACAACCCTGGGTTTAGCAGGCCACTGCTCAAACCACTGAGCTATCCCTCCCCCCTCTTAATATCAGTCATGCTCCAGCTCCCATAGCAGAGAGCAGGGTTGTCAACCTGTTTCTTATTAAATTCTCTCCCCCCATCCCGGGTCTGTCCCTTGGCGGGTGCAGGGCATGAGGCAACCTCCCCGTACCTCAGGTGCAGGGGCCTATAGCAATCGATCGCCTTTCTACCCTGCCTCTGCTCCACCCCTTCTTGCTCCCTGCTCTGCCCCCTTGCCTGAAGTCCCTTCCCCCGAGCAATGCAAGCCGGGAGATTGCCAAGGGGCCTGGCGTGGGGCAGCAGCAGGGGTGGCCCCCCACTCAGTGCAGTGTCCCCTCCCCCCACAACAGTCTATAAAAACTCCTTGGTCCAGCTGTGCCGCAACAGCTTTTCTGCACCCCGAAGTCAGAGCTGGCATTGTGGGGGGCAGGGCTGCTCTAGGACTTGCCGGGCTGCGTGGCAGAGCGGGACTGCTCTGGGGGCCAGGACTGCTTTGGGGGGCGACTGGGGCTGAGCAGGGGCTGCCACTACCCAGGCGGCTGGAGTGGGGGCAGGAGAAGCCCTCCAAGCCGGATTCAGCGCTTCGCCACTTTCAACCCAGCCTCTCCCTGGCTTGGTTCTCCTTTTCCTCCCTTCTTGCTCTTGGCCACGGTCCCCCTTCTGCTGTACCTTTTTGCCCCTCTCCAAAAATTAGTGAAAACAAGAGCTATTCTGCAAAGCGTGCCGTCTGTTTCACTATATATGATTTTGATCTTCCCATCCCCACAATGACATGTATTGTGTGTGTACAGATGCAATGTAAAATAACATGACCGCTTAAAATGGTCTTAATGAATATGCAAATATACAAATTAATTGCTATAATGAATATGCAAATGTTTCAGCACCAGTCCACCTAACGTTTTTGAATGAGTTTGGTGGCCTGTGGTATAAAAAAGGTTGGGAACGACCACCTTACGGAATGTTTATTATTGAAACCAGGAGGTGAACTCTGGCAGTGAATGAAATACCTCGCAGCAATATTGCTTTGTCGTCTGTGTATGGTACAAGGTCTAATTTTGTCTTTTAAAAGAAGTGTCTACCAGTAAGGTACGATGCATGGCAGAGTGCTGGGCAGCAGAATCTGCTTTGCAGGCAGGCAAGGGAACGGCACAAGAAAGGGCAGGGAGGGGTTTTGTGCTGCCACTTTTCAAACATCTGTGACGAATGGCTGCAAACTGTAGCTCTCCTTTCCCACAGCAACGTGGCTGCTGCTTGAGTGTTTGCGAACGTCTTTGCTTTTTTAAAGTAGCGGCGCTGTGTTTGCACAGTCATCGTGGCACCCCTCCCACCCTGAGCATGCTGGCTGTGGTCTGGGATGATCCCTTCCAACCAAGCGCAAACAGGGCGCACCCAGGGAGGGGTTTTTTGGTGGGGATCAGCAAACAGGGGTGGATTACTCCAGAGCTAGCACTCTGGAAACAGCCCCCATTTCACGTAGGTAACCGTGTTCGATAGCAATCTCCTGAGGGTAACAGCCGGAAAGGGAGCGGTTGCTGCAGAAATCTGGGCAGAGACCTGAACCGTTTGCTGCTTTGCTGTGTGCGACAATGGTGCCGGAAGACTGAGTGCTGCCATGGCATGGGAAAGTGCCTTATTCCATCTACTGTGGTAGGACGGAACAAGGCAGCCCTCCCAAGAAACCTTGTGCAAATGATTGCCGCGTACCTCCAGGAGAGCTTCGCAGAGAGGTCCCCAGAGGCTTCCTAGTTCCTCCTCAGGCATGTGATGAACCTTTTGTGTAGCTTGACTGGCCGCCCCTGTATCCCAGTTGTTTACCTTAGGTGAAACATTAAATGCAATTGCATTTAACCCCGGAGTGTGATTACAAATGGGCACTCATCTGAGGTGCCTTCCCTGCCCACGTGGTCAGGCAACAATACGTCCTAGCACAGGACTGGCTCTAGAGTTAGTACAAGGTCCCGAGAGTTGGGGAGAATGGATCCTCTGCTTGTCTGCTGCACATTCCCCTCCTCATTCTCATGAGCCGTGTCCTCCTTGTCCAGAGCCACATGAGGCTCCTGGGAGGTACCCCCAGAGACTTTTGGGGTACTCTGAGCTCTGCGCCTAGAATAGTGTGCAGATGCTCTCAAAACCCAAGTGACTATTTGCCTCTCATGTCTTCTGATACGCTTGTCTGAGTGCCTTTATTTTGACATGGCACTGCTGTGCAGTGTTCCCTGTAAGCTGAGTGCTCGGGCAGTCACCCAGGAGAGATTCAAATGCTGCCCGGTTTACTAGCAGAGCACTCAGTGCCCAGAGATGACAGCATGTGTTTCTGTTGGTGGTGCACATCTGCACAAGTCTCGGTGCACATAACAAAATTTATTCCACACATGGATAGAAAAAAAATTAAAGGAACACTGTTGCTGTATGTCCTTGGTATAACCCTGCCCACTCATGCACACTGCAATTTCTTCTCCCCACGCAGCCATCAGAGCCAGTATTTCCTGTATGCTTCAGGCTGGAAATGTGTTTGGCGCCCTGGCCATGCATAGTGAGCTGTGCTAGTGAGCTCTCCATGCTGATCAATCAGGAAATGAAATTCAAAAGTTCCCGGGGCTTTTCCTGTGTACCTGGCTGGAGGGCAGTGGTGTTGAAAGCGCTGTCCAGAATGGTCACAGCGGAGCACTCTGGGATGCCACCTGCAGGCCAATTCTGTTGAAATATACAGTGCTGTTTCTGCACAAACCCTAATTTGACCTAGGAAGGTTAGCTCTAGCACTATGCTTCTCTCCGAGGTGGAAAAAAATTGAGCATACAAGCCCTTTAGGTTGGCAGAAAGAGCTCAGTAGTATGGAGATGTAAATTTGGCCTAATGCTGTAATGCAGACCAGTCCAGAACTGTACTAACTGCTCTTTTTCAGGAGCACACTGATGAGAAGGACTGGTATTAGAGGTTCTTTCTTACCCAATAGCGTACTAAGGAAACTTGTATAGGACAGAAGGGGTTAATTAGAAAAGGATTAGAAATAGAATTTCAGAAAAAGGCAACAAAAATGAGGAGTTTGGAACTGGTTCCATATGAAGAGAGATTAAAAAGACTTGGACTTTTCAGCTTAGAAAGGAGGAGACAAAGAGGGGGGTTATGATAGAGGTCTGTAAAATCATGACTGGTATGGAAAAAATGAATGAGGAAAAATTATTTACTTATTCCCACAATGTAAGAACTAGGGCTCACCAAATGAAATGAATAGGCAGCAGGTTTAAAACAAACAAAAGGAAGTTTTTCTTCACTCAGCACAGTCAACCTGTGGAACTCCTTGCCAGAAGATGAGGTGAAGGCTAGAACTTTAACAGGGTTCAAAAAAGAGCTAGATAGATTCATGGAGGTTAGGTCCATCAATGGCTATTAGCTAGGATGGGTAGGGATGATGTCCCTAGCCTTTGTTTCTCTGGAAGTGGGTGACAGGGGAGGGATCATGTGAGGATTACCTGTTGTGAACCCTCCCTCTGGGGCATCTGGTATTGGCCACTGTCGGCAGACAGGATACTGGGCTAGATGGACCTTTGGTCTGACCCAGCATGGCCGTTCTTATGTTCTAAAAATTACACTTCATGGCAGCAGGGTTATTCCTTCTTTTCTCCCAAAAAATGCTGTGGGACTCACTCATCCATACAGTCCCTAGTGAGATCTCCAGGTCTTGCCCTGTATCCTGCTGTGTTTGTCTATACACAAGACACTCAAAGTGTCTCTGAGCTTTGCACATGACAAAGACCATCGCACTATACTATAGCTCTGGAGGGAGAAGAGAAGGAGATCAAGAGTTTGCTACACCATCAGCTGCCTCTTGTCAGCCTCAGCTACTGCCCAGCGAATTTTTATAGATATAAATATAACTAAATGCCGTTTTCAGTAGAGGCCTCATTATTTTTAAAAAGGTGATTTGAAGCTGAGTGCAGCTCTTTATCTCTTATGAAACAAGAAGTTGTAGACTTCAGAGCCAGGCATTAGCTTTGGAAAGAAGGAATTAACAGGCAGCTATTGTTTGCAGTCCAGCTGGGGAGATTTGCATATAAAAACCCTAATATTGGGGCCCTGGTGTGTCAGGTGCTGTGTATATAGATGTAGTAAGAGACGGACCCTGCCCCGAAAAGCTTACAGTCTAAATGGAAAAATAGGCAGTAATGTTATCCTCCTTTTAAAGACTGAAAACTGAGGCACAGGGAGATTAATTGGCTTGTTTTGTGGCAGAGCTGGGAATTGAGAGAGTTCTCTGTGCGTAAACTGTCCTTCCTCTTGCCTCGTTTGCATAGTTAATTTATGTATCTCCCATATTGTGATTGATCTGATCTCTGACTGAACTCAAACACCTTTAACTCAGGGTATGTCTCTTCTACTTTCCCTCTCTTAGTTGGTGACAAGGTGCCAGCCGATATCCGGATAATCGAGATCAGATCCACGACGTTGCGGGTTGATCAGTCGATTCTCACAGGTACGGGCAGAGGTGGGAGGCTGTGACTGCTACTAGAATGACTCCTGCATGGGGGTGGGGGTGAAGGTGGGTTGCGTTGTGCTTGGTGCTTTAAGAACCTGCATGCTCACAGAACCTTGAGTGAAATTCTGAGTTTTGAAAAAGGTAGGTTCTCCTCTTCACCTTCGCACCTGTCTGGTGACATCGGCCTTTGATTAGCTTTTGTGGCTTTGAGATGTCCTTGAATAAGTGGACTGCTTGTGTAACCACCACCAAGGCGGATTTGAACCTGGGACCTTGGGAGCTGACTATAGGAGCCTCTGAGCTAAAAGCCAGCTGGCTCCCAGCCCATGCTGTAGATGTCTCTTGATCTTAACTGTTGCAGTACTTGGTAACCACATTAGGTGTGTGGGTTACATACTTCACCTAGGTGAGTAAGCGCATCCCGAGCTTCCGAGACCCAGCTGAGATCCCGGACAAGACCCCACTTGTAACCACCACCAAGGTGGATTTGAACCTGGGACCTTGGGAGCTGACTATAGGGAGCTTCTACCCACTGAGCTAAAAGCCACTTGCTCTGGTTTCGATTCTTGCATCCTGAGGAGAGGGGCTTTTTCTTCAAATCTGAGAAGTGGCTGTTGTAAGCTTCCTGGAGCAGGGAGCTAGCTTTAGTTCTGTGTTCGTACAGTGCCTTAGCACAGTGGAACCCTTGTCCATGCCTACAGTTTTTAAGCACTACAGCTGCAAATCATTCGTAGTAATAAGGTAGCCGGTCTTCATGCCAATGCAAGATGCAAAAGAAGGTGTTTGAACTAAAGAGCATTTAACTTTAGAAGCCTTTTGTTTCTTCAGGATCTCTTCACAACAGGAAAGCAGATAGTATAATCTTCCCTGCCGCCTTTATGAATAATTTTTCCTACTGTTGCAAAGCACTCCACAATTTAGGATTCATTTTGCAGTCTTTCCGTACCCATCCCACTAAGCCCATGCACAAAACATTAGTTCTTGTTCCATTTGACTATCTTCCTCACACAATTAATGCCAAGAAGCAACTTGGCTGAAATTTACCAGGACAACACTTGGTCTCTGGTGCCAGTACCTCAGTAGAAGTCTTCCCAGTTAGTTGGTGGCAGTTAAAATGTGGCTGAAACACTGCAACACTTTTTCTCTGTGTGCGCGCAGTGCCTAGCAGAGTGTGGCTGAGTCTACAGATGCAACTATGACACAAAGCACAATAATTTAGACAGCAGTGTTATCACTGGAGCCTAGGCAGGGCAGCAATTGCTGTGTGAGACTGGGGTCTGGAGCTTGCAAACATCTATCAGGCCATATAGATGCCTAAATATGGAGTTAGGTGCCTCAGTTTACACCTTCTGACTCGGATTGGCCTAACCATGTTAGGGTATGCTGTTAGTGTAGTGGATTTTGGCTCTATTAATTTTCACTCGAGTTTAAGAGATTTTTCTATAATGATTCTCTCCATAGTGAACAGATGACTGGCCCAGCTGTAACATCTTACTGATTGGTGCTAGTAGGTCATTGTGTTTGGGCACTCAAGTTCTATTTTCAAGGCTATATGTTGTCACCAATCCACCCTAACAGAAGCTGTTGGTTGCTGGAAGTAGATCTGGGTTGAGACTCGAGTAGGAAACCTTGAAAATTGTTTCTCTCCCCCTCCCTCTTTTTGTCTCTACAGGTGAATCTGTGTCTGTGATTAAACACACTGACCCAATCCCTGACCCCCGGGCTGTCAATCAGGACAAGAAAAACATGCTTTTCTCTGTAAGTCTTTTCATGTTTGTCACCTCCTCTCTTGAGTCTTGTAGAAACAGCCCCAGGGAAAACAATCTCGTAGGCAGGTATGGGAGGGGATATGTTTGAGCAGCAAATCGTAAAAGGTAATTAATGTTCACTAGAGGACATGGACAATTTAAGGTGAGATTTTTCATAAATGCTCAGTGGTGGCCTGGCTCTGCTCCTGTTGAAGTCAAGGGGAACCGCGTTAAGCCAATGCTGAAGGCTTTTAAAAAATCCTCCCTCTTCCGCAAACAGTTTATATGTTGTCAACAGTTGGCTTGTCATCTGATCACTGGACCAGGAACGCCTGAGGTCTCTTCCAGCTCTGTGATTGTATGAGCCTTGTTTGTGCTGCTAGATAAAGTCTTTACTAAGGAATAACCGGGGGGTAATTTTACAGTTTCCACGCTATAGAGCCGGATCTTGTATCTTTGTGACAATGTGTAATACATCAATACAGTGGACCCGTTGGTCTTTGAGAGACACTTACACCCCTGAGCCAAGTGCGAGTTTTTTTAATATATTTTTTTAAATGAGGCTGACCCTCTGCAACATTATAAGCTAGGTTGCCCCAGGCCTGGTGTCCCCCTTGGGACAGTCCTGCCTCCATGAGGAGAGTAGCTAACAGAGCTAGGAGCAGGGATCTCAGTCCTGTAGCCTGGTTCATGCTGGCACTTTACAGCTGTGTGAGTGTGAGTGACAGACAGACATCCCTGAGCCAGAATGTTACAACACTGTAAAGTGCCAGTGTATGGGAAGTCAGTGTCCATGGAGTTGTATTCCTTTTAAAATTTCAACTTTTGTGTTTATCGTTTTCATATGAAATCATGGACTAGAGATGTTGCAGATGTTTGTTTAAACACACAGAACTCATGGGGTCTGATTTCCTTCATGCTCCCCCCAGGCTCACTACGAGCTAACACTGTACTGGTGTAAAACTGGCAATAGAATTGGGCCCATTTTGAGCAGTTTGGCTTATAAATGCCACCTCAGTCCTTTTCATAACTTCATTCCAAAAGCAAAGTGAAGCTCTGCAGATGCACCTGAGTTTTGCTTTTCTTCAGGATTTTTTTTTTAACATTCCAAGTGGGAAACTTCAAACTTGTGAGTGCAAACAATCCTCAAAGCAAGAGATGGACTCGGATGCATATTTTGCAGACTAAGATTTTAATGCTCTAAAATTCAAAGGTGGTTGCAGCATGGGGTTTTGTGTCATCCTATAAAGATATGGGCCTATTATAAAATCAGAGCCACATTCAAATTTCAAACGCGTGGCAGATTTGGAGGAGTTGTGTATATGGTGTTTTGATGCTCACTTTTGAGCCTAAAGCATGAAACAGGTAGAGAGAGAAAGTGGCCTATCAATTAGAGTCTAGGATTAGAAGGTAGGAAGACTCCCGAGTTCTTTCTTGAGATCTGTCACTGTCCAGTTTCTTTAACCCTCGCTTCAGAAATTCCTTTGATCAGTTTTGTTCAGAAAAACTGCTGCTAAGCCTTAAAATCCATTAGGGAGGCTGTGGGGAGGGATAGGTTGGCAGTTCTTTCATTTAGCAGTTTTTACTAGATCCAGCACCTTCAATTTTTCTCTGCTCCTTAGGACTAATGGGGATGCATTGTGTGTGGAGATGCTTCTAACTCAACCCCACTCCCACCTGTAAAAAACCCCAAATCAAATAAATCTTGAAGACTGCAGAAGACTCCCTAGCAACTGATAGGTCTGGAGAAACTCCTGCTTAAGTTTGGTGGGATATCACCAAAAGTAGAAAGGCCTGGCAATGGAATAACAGGAACAAGGAGTTATTGGATCCAAGCTGGAGAGATATTGGACAGCCAACCAGTGGCAGGAAAACTCAGGAGTCCTGACTCCGAGTTCTGTACTTTAATTGGTGGGCCATATTCTCCTCCTGTGCAATGGCTACCCATTTGCTGCTTCAGGCTCAAAGACGTACTGTTGGTATATTCTGTGCATCCAAATGACTTAGCTTTCTTTTTTCTGTTCCAGGGTACCAATATTGCAGCTGGTAAGGCTGTTGGGGTCGTCATTGCTACCGGGGTATACACGGAAATTGGGAAGATCAGGAACCAGATGGTTGCAACTGAGCCGGAGAGGACCCCCTTGCAACAAAAGCTGGATGAGTTCAGCCAGCAACTCTCCAAGGTCATTTCTCTGGTCTGCGTAGCTGTCTGGGTCATCAACATCAGCCACTTCAGCGACCCAGTCCATGGCGGCTCTTGGTTCCGTGGTGCTATCTACTATTTCAAGATTGCTGTGGCCTTGGCTGGGGCTGCCATTCCTGAGGGTCTCCCGGCTGTCATCACCACTTGCCTGGCACTTGGCACACGCCGGATGGCCAAGAAGAATGCTATTGTGAGGAGCCTCCCTTCAGTGGAAACACTGGGCTGCACCTCAGTCATCTGCTCTGACAAGACTGGCACCCTTACGACCAACCAGATGTCTGTCTGCAGGGTGAGTTCTTGAGCTATGCAAAAGCATAAATGCCATCTGGCTTTCTCAGAAGACGTACAGAGTCATGAGGCTAACGCACAGGGCTGTGAGGTAGGAGGCTAAGTTTTGTTCCTAGCCCTGGGGTAAGTAACTTCCCCCTGTGCCTCAATTTACCCATCAGTGTAAAAGGGGTAACAACGTTTACCTTCTCCACAGGCATATTGCAGGGCTAAAAAGGTCTCTCTCCTGACAGAAACTTTGCTAACTGAGAATTACAAGGAGGGCACGAAAAAGTTTGGCATTTATTGCAAACCTGTATAAACATGACCTCCCTTTCCTTCCTGGTGGTGGTAAAAATGTATTGTTTTTGCAAGAGTCTAGAGCTGCAATTGTATAGCTCACTCTTGCTTCTTGCGAACAAATGAGACACCTCTTTAAAGGTGTGGCTTTTCAAAGGCTATTTTAAGGACTCTTCTATCTTGGAGCTTTCCTCTGTGGTGGGAATCTGTTTGAAATGAGAGCTCCTACAAGCACACGTGTTTAGTCTGTTCTCACCCGGGTTTGTTTAAGGAAGCTGGTAAGAGATTAGAAACCTACCAGATGAACTTCTTTTAGAAGTCAAAACTGAGGTCAGTGTAACTACCTAGTTTTAATGTATAAGAAGGGATCACCCTGAGAAATCCAGGGGTCAAGATAAGATTAATGCAGCCTGGTTAATCTGTGTGTTGTGTTTTTCTTTAATCTAAGTTTTGTTGTTGGAAAGTTTTGGTCAGCAATCCCATGCAGCTGAGTTTGCAATCTAAATATACTATAAACTCATAAAATAAACACTGCGGCCACCATGCCTGAGGAATGTTTCAATTTTATCTGGTATAAAAGGGAGCTGTTTTCTGGGGACCATTGTCCATTCGCCTGCCCTGTGGGCTTGGCTATATTTGGATTGACAAGAATAGAATGGGGCAGGAAAGACGGGATAATCCAAGCACTCCTCAGTTTCTTCACTAATCCTCATTTCGAAGAAAAGATTTTTTTATACTAGCCCTCCAGTGTTCTAGGAAAACATTGGAAAATGTTTCACCAGAGGAAGAAATCAACCTGCCCAGCATCTTCCCCCTAACATCCCAACTTTCGTACTTTGTTAGAACTGTCCAAAGTAGACAACATGTTGTCGCATGTTTCTACATGCTGTGAGCACTGACTGGTTCACTAAAAGGTATACATTATTGGAAAGTCTGAGATATCTGTTCTATAAATTATTTAAAATGGAGTAGCACTGGAGTTGGCACATTTTTTTAAAAAAATGTGCTGTTTCCATGTCTTCATTAGAAAGGATAGATGGGCACAGACAGATACACACACCCTTTATACATATCATCTTCCTATTATCCCTTCTGCAAAGCAGATATGTTGCAAGACCAGTGATACTTTCTATCTCCTTCCGCAGGCAGCCAGCTACAGTAACATGTGTGTGACATTTTGCCTAGGGAGTGTGTCTGGCAGGCTGTTCCTGTTCAGTAGTGGTTCTTGTAGTTTCCTTAGTGATATGGCAAAGTGAGAGGTCCATGTTCATCTGCATAATGAATGTGTGGGAGTTTAAAGGCATTCAGCGAGAAGCTGATGGTTCTGCAGACAGATACAGAAGCATCTCTTGGTGATCAATTAGCTAACGTAGTATGGGAAAGACCCTGATCTTTCCAGAAACCTGTTCAAAACAGCATTCAAGTGGCTTTCCTAGCTGATTTCTTTACAAGGCAGACTACTCAGTTCTTTAAATCTTTTTCTTTCCTGTTCCCCCCACCCCCTCACCCCGGCTCATTAAGGAAGCAGGGTTACAAACTCACCACCACCACCACCACCACAGTTTTGGTCCATATGCACATAAAGATCCTGTGTTTGGACAAACCAGAAATTCAAAGCCGTGCTCAACCAAAGCCACCGAGGTGTTTCTGGCTTTTGGTAAGAATAGTGATAGAAATGTAGCTGTGTTAGTCTGGTGTAGCTGAAGCAAAATACAGGACTTTGTAGCACTTTAAAAACTAACAAGATGGTTTATTAGATGATGAGCTTTCGTGGGCCAGACCCACTTCCTCAGATCAAATAGTGGAAGTGGGTCTGGCCCACAAAAGCTCATCATCTAATAAACCATCTTGCTAGTCTTTAAAGTGCTACATAGTCCTGTATTTTGGGTAAGAATGAATCTGATTCACTACATTCAGACATATTCAGATCTGGGATAGTGATTCAAGCCCATCTCTGAATCAAGGCCATGAGAGCGTCACCTGGTTTCCATCTAAAATCCTAACTTGGTTCAGATGATGATGATGATGTAAAGCTTCGTCCAGGTTTGGTTCCCCACAGTGTGAGGTACTGTACAAATGTACATAGTAAATGTCAGTCACCTGTTTCAACTGAAGTCTGTGAAACTGTCCTGTTGGTTTTTAATTGCATAGGATTAAGCCATGAAAGGCAAACAGAACAGCTGTGTGAAACAAACTGAAGTGGGGGAGGGAGAGAGGAGAGAGCCACAATAACAAGAATGTTTAATATTAGCAATAATCACAGTTCTCTCAAAACTCAGCCCAAACTCTTAGCAAACCTAGCCTGAGCTAATAACTAAATTCAGGTGCTGTATTGATTCATCCCTTTCTCAGTATCCATTTAATCAGTCAACAGAAGTGGGGGATCTCTCTTGGATAATCATATTCCAGGCCCAGTCAGCTTCTGGACACACAGAAATTTTGTGTTTAATGTTTAACCTTCGGGAGTTCCCTGGTTAAATAAGGTGACTGCATAATGGAAAGACTATGGATATTGTTCACAGCTTTGCAGACCTGTTGAACGTTTAAATATTTACATTGGGTGGTCATGACTGTGATTGAGCTCTTACTTATCCTGGAGGTGTTCACTTTCATTAAACAGGCAGGTTCTGTCTTGAATGGAAACTGCATAGAGTCTGTCAATATCCTGCAGGCAGCCTTCTCTCAGGAAGAATTAGGGACGTTATCTTCTGTAATGGGGCAAAGAGAGCTTTTGTTCACAGAACTCTTGTAGACCCGCTTCAAGCAGTGTTACAAATAAGAGAGCTCCTTTGCCACTAGATCTATGGCAAGCAACTGGATTATATGTCAAGCGACCTGGTGCCGTAGTTTGTAAATCCTTCCCAGTCTGAAGGCTCTCTCCTTTTTCCCCACTCCTGTCAATTTTGCTTGCCTCCTTCACTGGAGTTGGGTGGGGAGTGGGGGAAAACCTTTCAGATTTTTTGTTGGATGTTTCCCCTTTTTTATTTTTGAAATTCAAAAAGTCTGAAATCCAACCAGCGCACTGAGCAAAAATCGAGGAAAAAAATTGATTTTTGTCGGAAAAAAATTCATATTTTGGCAAAACGGGGGGGGGGGGGGGGAGACTAATGATATTGTTCAACAGTTCTGCCAATACCTCCCTAACTTGTCTTCCCCAGGGTGTTACTGTGTAAATGATTTATTTGCCTGCCTTCCTTGATTCTCCAGGAAATACGATGAACCAGACTTCGCAAATTTTCTCCAGTTCACTCCCACCATTCATGATACTCCATGTCTACCTGAGGTCAAGTCTTGAAATTCTTATTCCCTTTTTACTCAGCCATTACTTGGAGGAAAACAAAACTACTTGCTAATATCAACATACTATTAAGGACTTCAGCATTTGGGTCTTGATCTATCAAAGCACTTAAGCAAGTGCATAACTAGAACTGTGTGAAAAGGCTTCAAGCATGTACATACTTTAAATCAGATATGTAAAGGTAGGCCCTTTGATGAGAGTCAGATGTTCAGTAGAATTTTGCAACCAGCACAACACTTACTGGTCCTACGTTGTGACAAGAATTACGTGCACCATACCAGCATCCATTCGTTATCACTCTTGTTCTTTTATCACAAAGCTTTCTTTGGCATAGTTTGGAATGATAAATCCAGAGCCTGGGGTCATGGTAGCCTGGGAACTGGCTTTTCCTGGTGAACTCATAAATGTGTTGCCTGCTTTCAGTTTCATTCTTGAGAGTCTACATAATTGATGAGATTCTCTTTCCTCAGCTTGATTGATGGATGTGGGTGTTCTATACATGCCAACTTTCCAACAGGAGAAAACCGGACACTCTTGCCCCTCCTCTTTTTTGAGGCCTTGCCCTGTACTTGCTCCACCTCATCCTCGCTTACAAACTTATTTGCCCCAGGGTGGGGCATGGAGTTTGGGGCGAGGAGGGGGCTCTGGGCTGAAGCACAGAGTTGAGGTTTAGGAGGGGGTTTAGGCTCTGGGTTGGGAATGTGGGTTCCAGGGTGGGGCCAGAAATGGGGGTTCAGAATGTTGGGCAGGGACTCCAGGCAGGGGGAGAGGTTGGGGTGCAGGAGGTTGTGAGGGCTCTGGGGTGGGGGTGAGGATGAGGGGGCTGGGTTGTAGCAGGGGGCTTAGGGCTGGGGCAGTGGTTGGGGTGTGGGCTCTGGATGGGAGTTGGATGTGGGAGGGGGTTCCAGACTGGGACAGGGAGTTGGGATGCAGAAGGGGATGCAGGCTCCGGGAGGCAATTTGGCTATGATGGGGGTGCTGAGGGCTGAAGTAGGGATTTGGGGTACAGCAGAGTGTTCAAGGTATGGACTTTGGGCGACGCTTACCACAGGCAGTTCCTGGAAAGCTGCTGGCATGTTCCACTACCGCCTGGGTGGAAGTACCGCCAGGCAGCTCCGAGTCTGCACACTGCCCCCTCCCTGCAGCTCCGATTGGCCGCGGCTTCTGGCCAATGGGAGCTGAGGAGCAGATGCTCAGGGTGGGGGCAGCACGCAGCCACAAAACCTTCCTGCCTCTGGTGCTGCTTCTAGGATTCACGTGGAACCAGGTAGAGAGCCTGCCTGCTCTGCAGTGCCACTGAGTGGCTGTTTAACAGGCCGCTCAGCAGTGCTGACTAGAGTGCCAGGGTCGCTTTTCCACTGGGCATTTTCGGTTGAAAAGTGGACACCTGGCAGCCCTTCCCATTGGTTGTGGTCAGCACAAGG